CGTCAGCCTCCACAGCAACTCCAGAGACTCCCAGTGCTTTGGAAAATGACGTGGCTGGTCCCAGTGCCTTAGAAGAAGCATCCAGGGGCTGCAGGCCTGTAGCACTGACCTCTCATATCATGAAGGCTAAGGAGACGCTTCATAAACTCCATCTCCTGCATGTGTTTATATGTCACTACTATACGTATAGACATGCACATTCTTCTTCTCTCCATGTTGCTGCAAGTTTTAGATCATTTATTTTCTCGTATGATTCACCTGAAGTATCAGGCTGTGTTTTCCTTCTTTTGGATTCTGTGTGTTGTCACCAGAAGAACTCCTCATATCAATCAGACAAACAACAAACACAAAACCTCTGAGCCCAAAAAGGTGGTCAGATGAAAAGCTTATAATGCACAAACACATCAGTGCAGTCATTACTGAGTCTGTGCCCCATAATTCCAATCAAGTGTTTGATCATTCATCCATTCATCCTGTAACTGTTCCAAACAGCAGCGTCAACCTAGCAGGAAGATCACTTTGCTTTTGAGATCAGATCAGATACGTTTTATAAATATCTATTTACTCACAGTTTACTGCAAAGATCATATTTGAATTCAAAACTAATTATAAGCCTGGTTTATAAATGGGGCTCTGGGTTAAAGGCTCTGCTCTGTTCTGTGAGGCAACATCTGGAGGCCAGTGAACAAACTTTTCTACTTTAACTGAAAACTTAAAGTGCTTTTCACTGCAAGCACTAACACAGGCATTAATGTATTATTCACACACATGCACAGATTCATTTTGGGGTATTTTGTTAGAGGACACTTTAGCATGTGTCGCTCTGCCTCCTGAACTCTAAAGTGTTCTGGGAACATTTGAACATGAAATCACGTCGACTTCTGGGTTTGTTTCATATTTCTGCAGCGGCTGATCTGACTGACAGACTGACAAACAATTTCCTCATTATTGGAGAATAATTTACAAACATTTATTAAATAACACGTGTCAGTGATTCCAATGATTTTCTTATAGACAACATAATTAGACTTTTGGCAGAAAACCCGCCCCCTGCTGGCTGTTGTTTTCAAGTTTATTGCAAACCTGACTTTATTTTTCTGAGTGTCAGCAGGAATTCTTTTATTTATTTATTTTTTCCAGCTATTTATTAACATAATGCAACTGCATGATTTCTTATCTTTGGATGTAGAGATACAAAACAGAAGAATATAATAATGTACAGTATGTTTGCATGCAACAAGCAGTCTCCTCAATCCAGAAATCACTCGACCAAACTTTGACTTAGAGATAGTTGGGTCTTTATATTTGTTCTTATCATAGCAACAAATGATAAAGGTGATGAATCAGGGAAAGGAAAAATTACTTACTGTATCTGTTTTCATTGTGCACGCCCGTGATCTTCCCATTGGGTAAGACCTGAATGTGGAAACCAATGCCCACGTTGCAGTAAAGCCTTCTCAGTCTCTTTATGCCCAGCAGGTATTCTCCGTCTTTCGCTGTCACTTCCCTCTTGTCCCAGATGTTGCTGCTGGGTGAAACCAGCGATCCGGCACTTCGTACCGTTTGTCTCGTCCGGCTGATAACTGGAAGCGGAGCAGAGGAGCTGCACAGGAGGATCCCATACAGAAGAAGTGGGAGCTTGGACCTTGGTGATGACATACTCTACCTACCAGTCATAGAAGTACACAACGATTGTGTTGTGCTTATCCAACTGAATGTTTAGTTAGTGTGAATAAAACCTGGTGATAAAATCTTCAGTGATCAGAGAATTATCATAAAGACAATACCTTAGCTCCTGCACTCTCTAACGCCCGGTAAACATTTTCAGTGTGCATATTTAGACATCTTGAAACACCTCAAAACCCAGCGGGGGTCCAGTTTGCAATGTTTCCTAATTTTGCTTTGTCCTCAGGTAGAGTCAGCACACAGAGAACACACTTATATGTGGCCCGTATTACATCACGCACCACCTGCTGTCATATCTGCCTGTGAGTCATAGATGCCGTAGAAGAACACAAACTGGGATATCAATAAAATACATTGTGACAGAAAACAAAGAGGAACACGCAAGCACACAGAAACACAGTAAATAATAAACAAAGACATCAGAAAGAGACTTTCAGACTTCTGAGCCACACTGGCCACTCATGTTGCCGTATACTAGGACTGTGACTGAAAATATTCAGCAGCAGATCAAAAACTGAAGGAAACCATCAACATATGATTCTCTCTGTCACTTTAGCTGATGCTGCTGAAGTGAAGCAGAGCAAAGGTACAGACACAGCTGAGCAGTTTGTAGTTTGGCATCATTTTAACACGTTTCTTGTTGGAGGTCATTTTTGAAATAACAAAACAAAACATAAACAAAACGGCGTCCGACAGCGCTGTAAACAACGGTAGACTGGTGCATAACAAGCAAGCGAATAATGCAGAAAACAGAGATTTGAGATGAGAAACCGTTCTTGAAGTACACGGAGAGAGAGAGTGCACGAAGTGTGATTTTATCCTGGTGGAAGTAAAACAGCCAAAGTCAGAGTCAATTCATGATGATGTTTATCAAACGTGAAGCGTAGCTTGGACCTTCTTTTGCTGCTGATTCAGTGAAGTTTGGATGGAGAGTGACAAAACCTGCAGCTTCAGGCCACTTGGTTATGGCGTTCCACGTATGTCCTGCCTGCCAGCATCTTGCACCCTGCTGTTATGCGCTGGATTGTCTCAGGGGCATCTTTGCACAGCCTGCACCTGGGGTCTTGCCTTATGTGCTGCCCTGATTAATGCTTTCTTTCAGTGCAGCTTTGCTAGCCATTGGTGCGACTTCTAAAAATAAGCCACGTCTTCTGCATGCTGTGTGGGTCCTGTCCTTTCATGATGGTTCATTTTCTTGCTCTTCTTCTTCTGTCTCAGATTTCAACCCATCATGGCAGATGGCCCCGCCCCTCCCTGAGCCTGGTTTGTTCCTGTTGAAAAGGAGTTTTTCCTTCCCACTGTCACCAGGTGCTTTCTGATAGGGGATCGCTTGATTCCTGACACTCAGGGTGTATTTTTACTATCAGAATCATTAAAGCAGTGATAAACAATCAGTTAGCCAAGCTAGGCGTCTGTTAGTATCTATTTTCATATACAGCAGGCTGATTACTCACTGCAATGATCAGCTTCACCTACGTTTTAATGCAAAACTCCAAAGGTGATTTTTTTAAAAGTACATTGTTCTGGAGTTTTTGGTTGTTGTCCCGTCTGTCACTGTTCAGTTATATAGACTGAGCATTTCTTTGTTAGAGGGCAAAGTTACAACATCAGCTGGGGTTCAAATCATTGTTTTTCCCCTGACTGTAACTCCAGCTGTTTCTTTTTGACTTGTCCAGTTAGCATGGTGACGCAGAAGCATTGCTCCTGAATGAAGCAGTAATGTTTTGACTTGTATTTTGGGGGAATGGTGCCCAACCTTTGAAGCAGTTTTTATCAGATTAGACTGATTATTATGTACTTGCAGTATTTTGTCTTTGTGACCGCAGACATAAATGCTGATAGTCCCTCCTCATTCATTTAGCCCCTAATAACAATACACACAAACATGTCTGTGTGTGTGCACAATATGAAATTTTCCTTAGTCTATGCTTGTGCTGGTAACATTGTCACTGTTAGTGAACAATACATCAGTGGAGGCTTGATATCATGCGACATGTGGTGCGTCAGAACACGGCTCATGTAGGGCTTATTGCAGGGCTCGGAAAGATAAAGCAGACAGAGCCAGTGATAGGTCGTCTGTGTGCAAAGGAATAGTCAGCCCACTGGGAGGAAACCCCATAGTAGTTGTGACGTAGGTAACTATTCATCAACATTTGCTCTGACATCAAACGTCATCAAAAGAGTTCCCCCAAGCCATGAGAGAGAAACTGACACTGACAGGCTCGGAAAATCCTAATAATCCAATTCTTTTTCCGCTTCCATGGATGTAAGCCTAATCCCATTTGACATCTGGGCCCCTAAGCCTCACTATTGTTTAAGCAAGGTTGGCCAAACAATTATTTATTATATGTACATTTAGATTCATAAATGTTTAGTTAACAAGTATTTGAGATTTGAAAAAAATGATCCTTGACAAATACGGACCTACACACCGAAGGAGCTGGTCTTCCAATAATGGACAAATCTAAAGTTCTTCTACAGATAGAAGAACACATCAGAACACATTTTAGCAGGTAATTATAAGGTTTACTTCTGTTTTACCTAGATTATGAATATTACTTGGGTAAAAGGAGAAGAAGCGTCACAAATCCACATACAAAGCAGAACTTTATCTATGCCAATGTTAAATTTCTACACTTTGACAAAAGGAACACGATTATCGTAAAATATGTAACCAGAAAGATGACAAAGGGCAAAAGCAGCACAAATTGTTTACTACACCACACATTAG